TATTTAGATTCCACACTGTGCAGACTTGCTCCAAACAGGTCTGGGCAATAGTTGGAAGTGTTCATCCCTGCCAACATCTCGAGCCTACACCTGGTTCTCACAGGAGACCATCTCCAGCAGAACTGCACAAATGGAAAGCTACAGAGCAAGAAGTTCAGCAGGTTAGACCAACAAAACTGCTGCCCAATCCTGCCCATGATGAAAAGCTGAGGGATGTTTAGAATAATTTTTAACAAACATTTAAGTGGGCATTTGGAAGCCATGCTCAGGCATTATGCAGCTCAAAACGTTAGAAAATGGACTATGCTGAAGTCCACGTAAGCTGGAACTTTTTGAAGTTCAGCTGAAGCTGAACATCTTAGAAGACAATTTTGCAAAGAAGCCTTGTTCTTGTAAGCCCTGTTCACACAAGGCTGCAGCTCACCTTCCAGCACCCGGCAAACTGCCCACTGTGACAAGCAAAAAACATTAAAACCATCAATAATGTGATGTCTGTTGGCTCTCAAATCCTGTTATTTACAGGACTTTGGGTGGCCTGGCTGGAAGTCACCTTTCCTGCAGGGTCCCCAAGAGGTGCCAGGTCCTGGAGAGGACAAACATACTGTCGCTTGGGATGAACTGCAGGAGTGACAGGACATAAGGAAGGAGCACAGTCGGGGCAAATTCTGTACAGACAGGACCTTCACAGCAGAGTCCAGCCTCCAACAAGATGAGAACATGAAGCCTAAAGACAGACAACTACTTCTCAGGACCCCAGCTGGCTCAGCAGTTTGCAGTCCTTTCCAGTCACTCGCTCCAACATGCCGGTCACATGTTTTACAGAAACCTAGATTTCTATCTTGCTGACAGCTTTATTGTACATTATTCTGACAGGTAACCAAACCAAGACTGATTCTTGTCAGCTCAGTCGAGCTAGATTTTACCCTCCGAGATCCCAAAGATCCACATCCTGCAGCAAAGCCTTCCCTTCCTCCTGGGGCTGCTGTCAGGCTGAAGAACAGAGTATGAAGACGAGCACTGATCAGAGGTCACCAGCAGCGCTCTGCATCCTCTCCCCCACTCCCTGTTTAGAATAAAGGTCAGTAGGTCTCCTTCCACTCCTGTGCACGTATCCTGTCCTCACCGTCAGAGCTGACAGCTCAGCCAGCCTCTTCCAGCAGCTGCCCAGCGCTCTGCTTGAAACCCAGCACATGCGTTCCAAGCCGCAAACGTTCACTTAGTTTTCAACCTGAAGTCACACCCCCAGTGCTTTAGCTGAACTAACCGTGATACCGCTTGGAGAGGTCTCAAAACGGCCATGGAGTAGATGAACAGTCCTGAAGGGCATCTTAACACCTGTAGAAGGACAACAGCTCAAACTCCTTGCCCACATGGGCAGCCTGGTCCTCGGGACGAGCGCGGCTGGGGCTCTGCCCTCCACCTGCAGATCTTCATTGTGTCCCATCATACACAAACCCATGTTCACCTTCACAGCCCTGGGTGAACGACGACCATCCCACCATAGCAGCTCTAGTTGCACAAGATTGCTGGGAACCCATTTTTGATTCTGACACAGGAACAGCATTTCTCTCTCTCCCTCATCATCTCAAGATCCAGCTCCAACCCCAAAACAAACAGCTGCTTCACATATTTGAAGTGTCTGGAAGGAGCAATAAAGCTATTTTTCCTGAAAGGCCTTGAACACCAGCAGCAATCCTCAGGACACAGCAAAGTCACAAGTCCTGCAGCCGCCGTCAGCAGCTGTGCAGCCAAGAGCAGGGGGCTGGAGCTCCCTCCACGCAGACCAGAGCAGCGCTGGAATCCACTCCCACCCTGTCCCAGCCACCCTCCCACTCCAAAAAGCCACAGAGGATGTGGACCGGAGGACGTGGACTGAGTGGGCTCCATTTTGCTGGCATCTCTGCCGCAGCCAGGCAATCAGTGGCCAGACAAGGGGATGGAAAAGGGAGGCCGAATTTCCGCATTTGAAGAAAAACACAATTTGCATCTCACAGAACAATCAGTCTAACTGCCACAACTGCCTCCCTCCCTCCTAATAAATCATTAGCCCTGACTGTAAGCACAGACACCCCCGATCTGCAGGAATGCGGCACTTCCAGGCTGTGCTAGACCTGCTGTTTATCTCGCCCAGATTCCTGCTGGGCACCAGCAAGCGGATGAAGTTTTCCAAGTCACCGAAGTTTCACTAAACACCACTTTCTTGAGCCTGGAGCATACTTAAGGACCTTTCAGCAAATCCAAGGCAAGGTTTGGGAAGGAGGATGCTCAGCAGGAGGTGGGCTCATCCAGCAGGTCTGCCTGGAGAGAATCACCCCAAAAGACCCGGGTAGCTGCTCATTGAAACCAGCATCAGGTTTGATTTTGATACCCCCAAAAGAGAAAGGGACATTGGTTTTACCAAAGAACTGCAGCTTCCAGCTCACAGGAAATGTCCGCTTCTGCCCAATTCAGGCCACAATCAAGTTTCTGAAAACCCTGACATATCTACAAATCAGAACCCTTGTTTTTGGCCGGTTGCCTTGGCGACACACAGCGATCTCTTGGGAAGAAACCAAGGAATGCATCCTAATACTAGCTCCTTCCTTTTCAGGCATCAACACTCGGCCTTATTACCCAGAGTAAAAGCCACAAACATCCTCTAGGTTAAGAGTAAACAGAAATCTTTCCATTTGCTACAGCATCAGCATCTTCTAAACCCTGGCTACAAAGTCAAACTCCATGCTTGCCACCCCTAGCAGGAAGGGAACGGAAAGAAAACCTGGTGTTACTCCCACTACATCGCCACATTTAATTTTACCCAGAAACTTGTGTCTCTACTACTTCTCCTTAAACTGGATCTTATTTTCCAAAGGGTCCCCATTTGTTTCAGCCTCCTGAGCTCTGCAATGTAACAGGCAGTTCCTCCTTTGCCTTTTAATATCTCTCTTCTCAGAAGCTAGATTTTTATGCAAGTTCTCATGCAGGACGTCCCCCACATATAATTCTTGGCAAACGCCGTTACAGTTGTATATGCATCTTGCAGTATTTAGCACACTTCATCTTCAGAGTGCCTGCAGAGCGGGACAGTTAATGCTATTAAGCTGATAAGCACGTAGGCAGAGAAGCTACATGACCTGCCCGATGTCACACAAGTCCAACACTGAACAGACAAAACAGCTATTAACCAACTTCAAAGAATCATATATTTTAGGCTGGGAAAGGACCTCTGGAGGTCTCTAGCCGAAACTCCTGCTCCAAGCAGGTCTGACCTGATCAGTTGCTCAAAGCTCTCCCCAGGCAAGCTTCAAATAGCTCCAAGGATGGAGATGCCACTGCTTCTCTGGGTTCCCGTTTAAGGTTGGTCAAACACTGGAACAATTCAGTCGCTGCACTAGCCTTGTCCCCCAGTGTTTGACCAACCTTAAACAATTCAGTCGCTGCACTAGCCTTGTCCCCGTCTCCCTCCCTCCTTTTTGTACTGTTAAGGACAGCTTCCACTGCGCACCATTTAATTGGTTTTGCTTACTTGAGGCTTTATTCTTTTACCAGCGAGGCTACTGCCCCAACAGCACCACCCTGCACAGAGAAATCAGCTCCTCTGGCTGCATCAGAAGCCGGGCTTATCTAAGAGTGTCTGTCCCACAACGTTTCCTCTGTGTTTTCTGCTCCATCCTAAGAGTACTCGTAACTGTAACATGTTGTCTTGATATTTTCAGCATTTATACCACACACCTGATTTGGTGTAAATCCAATTAAATACCCCAAACCGAACTGAGCAGAGCCAAGAGAACAGCTGGAATGAGGGCAAGCCAGCAGGTATTTAAGCAGCACAACAATTCCAGTCTGATCAAGCACTTCCCTGTAGGAGGGCAAGGAAAAACTGCAGGAGCGCTGAGCAAGAATCAACACTCCTGCTTATTTGCTTATTCTGGATCTCATGGTGCTCATGCTCCAGATCTGCTACCTGTATTAGTCACAATCAAATTAATACAGACTGCATGCTCTGACGAAGGAATTTAACAAAGTTAAGCCACGAGAAACAGCATTCCCTGCCTCCCTTCTAAATGAGATGCACCCTATGCAAAGGATTTCCTCAAATTATAATGCTCAGTGCCTCAGGCACCCATGCGGATTCAGTCCATCAAATATTTAGTCGAATTTAGGTAACGGAACGTCAAATGACTCTTCCCGCTATGGAAGAACATGTCATGTCGCAGACCTAGAAATCGGGATTTGTCACCTGGGCATACTGCTTTCAGAGCCAAACAATTCACACCTAATCCTCTGGTGCAGCAAAATAACTCGCTCTTTCAGCGTGACTGTGTCTTTATCACATCCAGATGCATTTCACCAAGCCATACAAAGATTAATTCTCAATGTAAGGCTCACAAGGATCTAAGTTAGATCCCAAGCAGTGAGAAAGACACTTGGAGCAACTGACATCTTGCGGATCTTCAGAGATGTAGCTGCACGTCCAGAAGAAGCAGGCAGGTGGTATAATCCTATCAAGGGGAGTTAAGTTGTTGCTGATCTCTTTCTGCCTAATAGAGACCTAATTCTTGAGCCTCTATCAATAGATCACTAATGCGGGGAAGACACCAACACCACGCTGCCCACTGTACTGTGTCACAAGCCGGGCAGTGACCACAGGGAGCTCAACGTGTCCAACACCCGCCAGACACAGCGAGCAGAGCTAGAAAGGGGGCAAGTCCACAGCTGTTCAAACCACGCGACTCACCTCGATTTTCTAAATACCTGAAATATTTTACTTTCCGTTATCATACGTCCAAGAAGCAACTGTGGGAGAGGTCCTGCAGTTATCACAGGTCATATCCCACCCTCATCTACTTGGCGGAACAGCACCCAATGCCCCCTCCCTGAGGGCAAGCCTCCGGCTCTCAAAAAGACCAGAAAAACACTGCCCATCTTCCCACCCCGTGTCTCATGGAAAGACAAGCCAAAAGTAGTACCGAGCTACTCTCAGCCTGGCTGTTCAGTGCAGAGGCGCCCCAGGCAGTTACCTTCTTGCGGCGGGAGCCTGTCTTGCTCATGCAGGACCTCTCCAGGGACAGGTACCCCCCGATCACTTCGATCTCGTTCACCGTGGGGTAGCGCTTTTTATGGGACATCCCCGCTTGGGGCCCGTCAGCGTTCTCCACGGCTTTGCCTTTTCCTTTGCTCTCCTCATCCTCCTCCTCTTCCTCCCGCTGCGGACTTCCACTGGCATTAGTGAGAGTCTGCAGCCCCGAGGCAACGGGCTTCCTTTTGGGCACAACAGTGAAGGTGCTGCCTCCCCTCTGCTGGGGGGCAGAGTGTGGTCTGTACAGGGGCATGGAGGAAAACTCCATCTCCAGGTCAGGGCCAGCTCCTCCAGGCTGATCCACCAAGCTCCCTGTTCTCGCAGCCGAGCCAGCCCTGGGAGAAAGCTCCCCGCTGTCCGGCTCCACAATGTCATCAATGTAAGTCACAGGTACCAACGGATCCAGAGGCGCCGGTGGGGAAGCGACAGGCTCTTCCTGCTCCGGGGCGGAAGCCCTCGGGGGCTCCTTCGGTGCCTTCTCCGAGGACGGTGGCGGTGGCACCGGCCTGGCGCTCTGGGCTGGGGGCAGAGCCGGGCCGCCCTCCCGGCGGGGCACGAAGAGGAAGGAATTGCGCGAATTCAGGCGCAGCTTGGCCAGGGCCTGGGCCTGCAGGTCGTGGGCTGGGATGGCAGCCAAGTCGGGCTTGGGGGCCGGATGGATTTCGAAGGAGCCCCCAGCTCGGGGTGCACAGGCAGAGAGCGGCTGGGTGGAGCCGGTGGCACTGGGGGCCAGAGTGGCACTGGGTGGGGGTGACGCGGCCACTTCGGCTTCCTCCGGCTTTGGCTG